GTTTGCTCCAGGCAAAAAGCAGAGTGTAGCCCTATCCTGTTTTTCCTCTCTAAGAATTCCTATTCAGCCCAGAAAATCAGGAGACTGGTAGCCCTTTTTTCCGACTGACAACTTTTATTAAAAGCCATTAGCTTTCATGAGCTGCAGCTTCCTTCTTCAGATCATTCTTACGCATCTGGTGAAGCGAGCTGCAGTTCACAAAAGCTGGCACCTTTTAATAAAATTTGTTAATTGGAAAAAATGCTGCCAGACTCCTCCTGATTTTGGGCTCTCCTCCTCCTATGTATTTAGCCCAGAGACATTTTTGGAAATAAAGGCAATGCAAGACTCAGCCGCCTGCTGGCTTCCCACTTTTTAAAAGAATCAAGACTGTTGCATATATGTAATCAACATTTGATGCTCGCAAGCAAAGAACCAAAGGAAACACTTACTTCCTGGAATGGCATATCAAACGTTTTTGTCCTCATGTCCACTTTGATCAGGGTATCTGTGCAGGGCAGAATGAAATAAACCCCTTTGGGAAAAGAAATGACATCACCATCAAAATAAAACCTCAGCAGCCCCTTCAGGCTTGCTTTCGCCCAACACAAATAACATTTTAACACACTGACCCATTTCTTGCCTTTGCACACTACACTGTCCCAGAACGAAGGCAAACGGGTTGGGTTTCCATAGCCAGCCCCGCAAAACGAAGCCAAAGTCAAAGTCGCCCGGGCTTCACCTGCTAGAAACTCTTCTGCTTGCTGTTGTCTGGAAACGATGCCAACGAGAAATGAAGCAGCTGGGCCTTTCCCAATCTGGTTCCACCCCTGATACCCTCTTGCATTTGCAGGAAGAGTGCCTTAAAAATGCTGCAGGCCTCCTGAGGTCCATTTATGCCACCCATTATCACTACAAGCCCTTTCAAGAGCTACACATATGCGTGCCGTTAAGGTAACTATCAGTGGTTGTCAAACTTTAAGCTGCATTTAAAGTGAAAGTGCACTTAATGCACTTAAAGTACACTTAAAGCACTATCAGCAGCTGTCAAAGTTTAAGGTACACTAGGTTAAGCTGCACTCGTGACATGATTTTGACTTCCGGATAGAGGGTCATCCTGGGATTGGCTCCTCCCAAATTGCTCCAAATCTTAGTCACGAGGCAGCCAGGGATGAATCTTTCTTTAGATAGTGGTGATGATAACAATAATTTACTAAATGTACATGCCACCGGGCTCCCAGCAACTCTGGGCAGTTTACACATTGTTAAAACATTGATAACATTTCAAAACAAATGAACAATACAAAGGAAAAACCCAGGAGACAAAGAAGCAAGATGGTGAATAAACCATTCTTTCTACAGCCTCCCTGGCTTCTCATCCTTTTTGCTAAATCCCAAGGGAAGTCATCAAGGAGAGAATGGAGAAGTGGTGTGCAAACAACCTCAACAGCCACACCCACCCTCTGAAAAGGGGAAGGAAGATCAATTGTGAGAATTCAGACTGATGCACAAGCCAGGGATTAATACGAGCTACTCGCCTGGACCTCTTGCAACATTTTTTCGTATATGTCCGAGCCTCATTATGACCGGTTCTTCGTACTCGTTAACAACCTGAAACAAGGAATCCCGTTGCACGTTTCAGCCTAATTTTGCACTCCATTTGCAACATCCCAAACTGAAACATACACAGGGCAGAATGTAAAAAAAGAGAGAATCCGTTAAAAGAGGCTAAACAGAGCAACGGGAATCTGAGGCAAGGAACGCACGGGCAAAAACTAGCCAGCAAAGCTGGTGAATGTTTAAAGCATTTTGGAAAGGCTGCAGTGTTTTGTTTCAAACACAGAAGCAACTTTGCTTTGCCACCTACACGATTAATACAATGTTCTGTTTAGTAAATAAAAGCTATATTCCACCTTTCTGCCAAAGAATGATCGGATTTGTTTGTTCGCAGGTTTATGTTGGAGGCTATTACTATAGGTTGAAGGCTGAATGAAATTAATCGTAACAACAACAGAAGAAATCATATTTGTATTTCTTTATTGATGGTCAAAGACCAATGAAACCGGTACAACACTAAAGCGACATATATAAAAAGGCTCAAACATAATAAGAGCCATAAAAACACCTATAAACCTGCCAGTTAAAACTGACACGTATAAGTAGTAAACAAAAGAGAACTAAATAAAAAAGAAATTGAATATATACTATTAACGCAGGTTTCACATCCCAATTTAAAAAAAGAATGAAGATGCATCTTGAAGTTCGCACGAAATTGATATTAATTTTCTGATCTGGGCAACTTTGGAATATACATATATCAGCAACGTTGGTTAGATGGACAGTGTCAGGATCTAAATATACTAAAACTCTAATATCTCTGGAAACAATTTTGTCAGTTAGAAAGCTATGGGTTGTAATGTCTGACCAAAAAAAAAGAGAAGGATTTGACTCTTTTTCCCCATGCCAAATTGAACTTTATGGGGAAACCCAACTTTAAAAATTGAGAAAAAGCTGACGTGCTCACATAAAAAAAGAACAGGATTTCTGAAGGGTGATTATTATTATTATTATTATTATTATTATTATTATTATTATTATTATTATTATTACAACTACTCCTATTACTTCATCATCATCATCATCATCATTATTATTATTATTATTATTATTACTATTGCTATACTACTACTATTATTATTATTTTACCTGTAAGCAGAGCCAGAAAGAAAAGGGAAAGGTCAAGATGAGGCATATGAGTGACAAGACCAGCAGGAACCACTCCCCTTGAGCCAAATCATCTTCTATATCTTCTGCGAGGGGCCGGGCGGGGGGAGGAAACAGAAACAGAAAACCGAAAACCATGTTTTTGGAATCTGGATGCAATGTCACATCTTCAAAGCCATTCTCACTGTTCTCATCACCCTAAGACGCAACATGGTTGCTCACTTTGGGCTCAGCGCCAATTCTATATAGGATTGGATAAGCTTATATAGAACTGGAACTGTGTGCTATTATAATGATATATTAACTTTTTTGGTTGTTGTATTTTTTTCACGTTTATGTTAAAGCACTTATGTGTTTTTTCCCTTTCTTTGTGATTAAAAAAAATTAATAAAAAATTAATAAAAAAACGTTGGGCTCAGCGCAGCAGGGACCCAGCTCAGCTGGGGTTTACTCTACAAATGATGATTAAACCAGCCATGATTTCCAGGGTTGCATGAACCAGGTTTATATTTCAAGAGCAAGCAGAAGAAAAGCTTCAAGGCTGAGACAACATACCTGGCCTGTTCTTACTTAGTGTGACATGTAAACCACCCAGCCAGAGATTCGTGGCTTGGTGTGTCATGCAAACAATGTGTGTGTGGGGTGGGTGGGTCTATTCAACAAAGCATAGTTAAACCAAGGCTTAGCAGGCAGGAATTGAATGCAAAACACCAAATGGTCCTTTTCCCAGACTGGATTTCTGTATGGAGGAAGGAAGTTGTTTTGAGTCTATGGTGAAAAAGTGGACAAGATGCTACCAGCTTCCTCGTTATTTATTTATTTATTTATTTTGGCCAGAGTAGATTAGTAAGGAAACCCTTAGCTGGAGCTTTGAAGAGGCCAAAAGAATCACCCAAGTGCCCGCTAACTAACCAACCTTCCTGGCACTCCGCTGGCGCTCAGAGGCAGGCCTTGTTCATCAGGGCGCACGCCCTAAAAGAGGGTCAGGCGCGGCCGGAGGAGCCTAAGGTTTTCTCCACTTTAGTCCCCAAAGGAAAGGGGAGAGGCGACTCTGCCCGGCCCGCCGCCTCCGTGCCAAAAGAAAAGGATCTTCCCTTCCCCAGGTCTGCTCTCCCTCGAATGAATCTCTGCCCCGCCGCTCACCTTCGCTCTTGCCGCCTTCCAGCGTTTCGGACTCCACCGATTCCTCTCGCTTCCTGAGAGCCATCGACCTGCTTCGCCGCGCTCTCTCGCTCCGGGGGCGCGAAAGGAAGCCCGCCCGCTCCAGCAGCCCCCCTCCCCGGCTGTGGATCCGACGTGGCGGCGGTTGCCCAGCGGCCAACGCTCGAGCCGTCCGTTCCTCGCCTTTCCGCCGCCTCTCTCCGCCAGCTCGCTTCAGCCTTCGCCTTTACGCGCGGAGAGCTCCCCAAGCGCAGACGGCGCCGGCGGTTCCCACCCGGGCCGGTCGCTTCCCCGCGCCGTGCGGCCTGAACCGGGCATCTCTTGGCGAGCGGCCGAAGGGAGGTGAAACCCCGCGGCGTTTGGCAGCGGACCCAGGAGCCCCCAACGGTGCCCTGGCAGAGGCGGGCGTCACGCAAAGGATGCCATGCCGGAAAAACTGGTGGGTGCGCCTGTAGAAACGTGGCACCGACCAGGATTGGGGACGCCGCGGTGTTGGCTTTCACCCCCGGCGCTAAGCCGATCGATCGGTTCACTGATTTGGGGCTTTGGATGGGAATCCAGCACTTGTGGGTTCCCATCGCTTAGCCTTTGGCACCAACATTACTGATTGAGGCTTATTTGGCAAACCAGGGGAAGGGGGTGAGGTAAATACGCTGTTTTTATTTGATGCAAGCAGCTGCTGAGTGGAAGGGGGGGGGAAGAGAAGGGTCAGAAAGTGCACGCTCAGGTGTTCCTCGGGGTTGAGCTTTCAGTCATGCTGAAAGGAGAAATTAAATAGATGTTGCATAAACACCTATGCGAACGTATACACACACATTTTGGTCAAAAGGGCTTAGTTGCCTCTTGGTCTACCATGGAAAAGCTCATCTTCTTTCATCGTCATCCCCAGCTAGTGCTTCAAAGGGGCAAGACACTGTAAGATGTCTAAAGGAAGGGGGAAGACAATGGTGGAATTCTTCTCGGCAGCAATCGTGGTCAGCGTTTGCAGGTACCGAAGCTGGAGCGCCGCCGGGTTTTCGCTGATGATCGCTGCAGCTCCTCTCAGAGCCCGCGAGGCATTCATTTCACCCTCCGCTGCAATAACCTGGAAGGCAGGATGCCAAATGTAAAGTAGGTTTGTTGGACGTGTGGTGCTGGTTTAGTTAACTGCTTTGTGGAACAAGGCACAAGTTCATGAGTCACGATGGCTGGTTGAGTCAGGTATGGGAGAAGCTGAAACACACCCCATTAGGGCTGTGCATGATGTACAAACCCTGAGTCAGAATCATTGCCTCCTGTTTCTTCTGCTCTCCAAAATCTGAGAGTTGCTTTGTATGTGGGAGATCAACAGCTGGATCTCCTAGGACCCTTTTATCTAAAAGGGGCTACATGAGAAGAGGAGGCCAGGAGATCAGGAGATGGTTGAGGGATTTTAAAAATGCCTTTGCCCCGTCAATTCTCTGGCACAAATCATGCCAGCTTATTCTTCCCCTCTATCGATGATCCATGATTTATGGGGGGAGATAAACATAATTGGAAAAGAAATAATAGGCTTTCTAATAGAAAACGAATTGCCAATTTTGAGGATGGGGGAGACTTGGCCACCTCTGTTAGGGACGCATAAATCACCATCTCAGCTGAAAAAGAAGAGGGGGGAAGTCCTCATCTGAGCTCCTGCGAGATGGCTGGCAATTAGGGCATCTGGTCTTCAGCACATCTGGGAGATGCACAGTTGGGGAAGGGGATCAACGCCATTTCCTAGACAGCCCCCCAAAGTAAATAAGCAGCCTTTCCCACCTTTGCTCTGGCTTCCCGAGCAGCCTCTGCTTCAGCAGCCATGGCTCTTTGAAGCTGGATGGGTAATTTCACATCCTTGATCTCCACGAGCTCCACCTTTATGCCCCAGTCGTCTGTGGCCTTGTCTAGAGTGACCTTTAAAAAAGAAGAAGAAGGTGTCATATGTGCAAACTCGGCTTATTGTGGCTTATACAATCCGTAGTTGCACGTGTCAAGATTGAACATATCGTGTGGACCTGGCCAGAGATGTGCACATCTGTCTTCTCCCCCTTTTTCGCTGTTCAACCAGGAAATGCCTATTCAACTCTGCATCCTCAAATTCTTAAAAAGAAAAAAATGGACAGTCTTTCTTCTAAGTGAAAGAGCAAAAGCAAGAATTTTGGAGGATTTCTTAATCAGGGATTAGCATTACATGTTGTGAACATAGCTCCGGTTGCTGGTGATGGCATTCAAGCTGTTTTCTTAGTGATAGCCTTCAGGAAGCAGTTTGCCCCTGGACTTCCTGATCCACCCAACTGGGGTGGTCCAACTTGCTAAAGGAAGCAACACTTGAACGTAGGTCAGAGTAAATGTTTTGTATTGCTTTAGCCCTGCAGGCTGAGACTTGCAGTTGCTACATTCCTGTAACAGCCCATGTCCAAACAAATAAATCATAGTCTTTGTTTACATGGGCCTATTTCACTTCATAGGGAAACACAAGGACTGGATTTCCCCAACAGGCTGATTCTGAACCACAGGCTACCCCATCCCATTTTAGTCTAGCGTGTCATAAAGGTAAGGCCTCCCTTGAGTCAAGCTCAAATCTTGATGACAGTATGGACGTGTCCATCCAATCTCTTGGCAGACTCTGTCTGGCTTGGAAGCTAAGTGGGATCAGGCCTGGTTCATACTTGGATGGGAAGTCACCAAGCAATGTTACGGATACACTGGGAAGCAAACAAAATAACCCTAGGACGTTTCCACACTGTTGCCGAGAAAACAACACGGACATGTCTGGGAAACCATCAGGAATTGGGCTCAACCTGAAAGGGGCTTCACCATTTCTGCACACCAGGATTTGATCTGGGTTGGTTCTGAATCTCTCAAAAAGAAGCAGCTTGGCTCTGGCGTTCCCAGACCTGCATGCTGTGGGCAATTTCCTCTCTGTCCGAGAGAATCTGAGCAAGATCTTTGGTTCCCAAGACATTCCTCAAGGTGGTTTGAGCCAGGAGGCGAGTGGCCGGGTCTGCGTAGAGCACATTTGCGACGGAAAGGATAGCGTTCCGAACGCGGTAATAAACTACACCGTCCACCATGATTGTCACCGAATCTTTTGTAAGAACCTAGAATAGGGTAGCGACAGAAAAGAAACGAAGAAGCAAAAAGTTTACACCAAAAAAATGAGTGAGGTTGATGGTTTCCTTGGGCTCCAGGGGTAGTTTGGTGGGGTGGTTCGTTTTACTCTTGTAAACTTCCCAGAGCCACAGGTGTGAGCTGGGTAGCTATACGAATTATATATATAAATAAATGGCCATGATTCCCCCCCCCCCGCCACCCTTTGAAATTCAGCATTCACAACAGAGATTATAGAAGGACAATGCCCACTTATTAAATGAGGTATTAGGTACTTGAGACCCAGTTTGGTGTAGCCATTAAGGCACCAGGCTAGAAACCAGGAGACCATGAGTTCTAGTCCTGCCTTAGGCACAAAGCAAGCTGGGAGATCTTAGGCCAGTCGCTTTCTCTCAGCCCTAGGAAGGAGGCAATGGCAAACCACTTCTGAAATCTTGCCAAGAAAACTGCAGGGACTTGTCCAGGCAGTCTCCTGGAGTCAACATGGACTCGAAGCACGCCCCAAAATATGTTTTAAAAAATTAGGTTCTGTACTTACTTCTTGAGGAGCGATATCAAAGGATATTGTCCTCATATCCACTGTGATCGCATGATCTAGGAAGGGCAAAACAAAATATATTCCTGCAGAAAAAGACATTTGGATCCTTAGACGGTGGGAGGCGAGAAGGGCAGGACAGGAGAGGTCAGCAGCAACAATGCAGCAACGACAGCAATAACAAGAAAGCTTTTTTTATACAGAATGTATGACAAAGCAAATCACATATTCTGTTCAGTCAGAAACCAAAGGCTCAGGAAATGGACAAAGAGAATATTTTGCTACTGGCGTTCCTTT